CGTAAGCCGTACTAGTACATCTGAAACCCAGAAAGGGTTAAGTAGGATGACCCCAAAAAAGAAAAAAACACTTTCGCCATTATTCACTCCAGAAGCATGCTGACTTATTTAAATAATGCACAGATGTACACTTTAGGCCAAGATGAAGGATATACAGTGGACCCCCGCATAACGATCACCTCCGAATGCGACCAATTATGTAAGTGTATTTATGTAAGTGCGTTTGTACGTGTATGTTTGGGGGTCTGAAATGGACTAATCTACTTCACAATATTCCTTATGGGAACAAATTCGGTCAGTACTGGCACCTGAACATACTTCTGGATTGAAAAAATATCGTTAACCGGGGGGTCCACTGTATAAAACAATAATGCTTAGCTCTTTCCTTGGATTGCCAGAAGATTCGTTCCTCCATTTCCCCTCCAAAAGAAAGTGGTGAAATGTAAAAAAAGAACATTTTTATAGGTTAACCAAAGTAAGTTAATTTATATTGTGTCAGTTTTAGCATGGTTAAATTATTTTAGTTATGGTATATCAAATGTATGGTAATAAATAAAAAAAAAATTAACATAAAACTTGAATAACTATGTTTCACTGAGGAGGAGAATGGTTTACAGGCAGATCTTTAAGTAACTCTATGCCTTAAAGGGAATATTAAGTGTAACTATAAATACTATAATTAAAAATGAGAAACTGCATATAATAGATGAAATTATTTAGGTTAGGGATGAGAAGATATCCATACTGAAACTCAATTTTGAGCCTATAGTGGTACCATCAAAATCAGTCAGTACCCACTGATGCCATTAAAATTACCGAATACCAATTTTGATACTTTGTCACACTCCTGATTTAAGTCGCATAAGAGAAACCCCATATAATAGATATATTTGACTTGTTACTTTGCATTGCTTTTACATCTTTAAAGTTTTTTTAAAAATGTTGATTTTGTAAACAGGTGAATAAGCACTGTCACCTTAAGATGACAATTTAAGATTGTTGTTCACTAATCATTTTTACCAAATTTATGGTGTTAACTGTTGACCCCTTAATTTTTTTAATTACCATATATCCTTTCAGACTTTTTCAGTAAAACTGAAAACGTATACAGTTGTGCCCCGTATCCACGGGGGATACATTCCAAGACCTACTGTGGACACCTGAAACTGTGGGTAGTAGTGAACCCTATACATGTCATTTTTTGTTTACATACATACCTATGATAAAGTTTAATTGATAAATTATACAACTTAAGTCTAGTATTAGTACTTTTTCACTGATGAGAAGCATTTCCTGGCTTTTCTTAGGCTTTAAAGAACTGCCAGTATCACTACTTTTTCACTTTGGAGCCATTATTAAGCAAAATTAAGGGTTATTTTTGGGCCACAGTAAACTGTGGACAACTGAAACCGTGGATACCAAATCCATGGATACGGGGGCTCTACTGTATATAAATTCAGTTTCAAAATCACTATACCCTTAAACTGTCCAAATGTAGATCTACGTTTTTTCAACATTTGAAAGTATGTGAAAAAAATGTAGATCTTCTGTGTTTTTTTTTTTTTTTTTTTTTTTTTTTTTTTTTTTTTTTTTTTTTTACAGTGGAAAACGTGTAAAAAAAACTTTGATCTACTTTTTTTTTATTTTGTTATACAGTGGACCCCCGGTATTCGATATTAATCTGTTCCTGAGAGCTCATCGTATACCAAAATTATCAAAAGGCGAATTGATTTTCCCCATAAGAAATAATGGAAATCAAATTAATCCATGCAAGACACCCAAAAGTATGAAAAAAAAAAAATTTGACCACATGAAATATTAAGTTTAATGCACACAAACTGAAGAAGACATGCACAGTTTGTAGTACTCTACTAACAATAGAATACATGACACTTACCTTTAATGAAGATCTGGTGATGAGTGATGGGATGGGAGGAGGGGAGAGTGTCGAACTTATTGTTTAGAAGGGGAATCCCCTTCCATTAGGACTTGAGGTAGCAAGTCCTTTTCCGGGGTTACTTCCCTTCTTCTTTTAATGCCACTAGGACCAATTTGAGTCACTGGACCTCTGTTCCACAACAAATCTGTCCATAGAGCTCTGTACCTCCTGTTCCTTTACGATTTGTCTAAAATGGGCCACAACATTGTCATTGTAATAGTCACCAGCATGGTTTGCAATAGCTGTGTTAAGGTGATTTTCATCCATAAAGGTTTCCAGTTCAACTCACTTTGCACACATTTCCTTAATTTTTGAAGTAGGCACAATGGATTCCACAACTGGCATAGGCTTCTCAGGGTTAGCCCCAAACCCTTCAAAATCTTTCTTAATTTCCATACTAATTCTCGCCCTTTTTACCACAGGGTTGGCACTAGAAGCTTTCTTGGGGCCCATGGTGACTTATTTTGCAGAAACAAGCACCAAAAACAGTGATAATATGGAGTGTACTGAATGTATGCTTAGATGCAAGCACACTGGCTGGCTTGTAAACACTGGCACACACGGGGCAGTTCAGGCCACACGTGGACATGTCTTGGACGAATCGCGTGTGGCGGGTTTTTTAACGAGAAACGAGGCAAAATTTTTGTTAAAATGTATCGAATACTGGATTTATCGGATACCGATGCCATCGAATACCGGGGATCCACTGTATTTGAAAATATGTAAAAAACGTAGATCTACTTTTGGAGCACTACGCATGTGAACATAGATCTGTTTGGACAGTTTAAGGGTTAAGTACAATGGTACCTTGACTTACGAGCTGTCGCTCGGTTGATTGTTTGCTTCGAGTTGCAAGCCAAAATCCGAGTTAAGAGCGAGCTTCAGATACACTGCCACTAATTGGCGGCGTATCTGAAGTCAAATCCAACTCTGTACCCGGAGGAATGTCAGGTATTTCATCCCATTCCACATGCTCTTCCAAGACATACCTGGAAGGATAATACTCCCACACTAATCCCCGATTGTAGTGAGGCACCTCGTCCCTTTTTTGGTTCTCGTATAAGTCCGGAGAAGAGGTAACCTCCATTTCAACACTCACTTTCTCCAGAAACATTAAGGAAGACCTCTGTGATATTTGCCTGCCTCATGGAGGTTTCTTCAGTGGGTGGAGTACTGATAGTGGTGGGTGGAGTAGTGATGGTGGTGGGTGGAGTAGTGATGGTGGTGGGTGGAGTAGTGATGGTGGTGGTGAGTAGTGATGGTGGTGGGTGGAGTAGTGATGGTGGTGGGTGGAGTAGTGATGGTGGTGGGTGGAGTAGTGATGGTGGTGGGTGGAGTAGTGATGGTGGTAGGTGGAGTAGTGATGGTGGTAGGTGGAGTAGTGATGGTGGTAGGTGGAGTAGTGATGGTGGTGGTGGAGTATTGATGGTGGTGGGTGGAGTATTGATGGTGGTGGGTGGAGTATTGATGGTGGTGGGTGAAGTAGTGAGGGTGGTGGGTGGAGTAGTGAGGGTGGTGGGTGGAGTAGTGAGAGTGGTGGGTGGAGTAGTGAGGGTAGTGGATGGAGTAGTGAAGGTGGTTCTTATTTAAAAACCCATAACAAAAAAAATGGGGTGATTTTTGGGGGCTGGAACGGATTAACGCCATTTCAACTAGTTTCAGTGAGCAAGTTGAGTTACGAGCTCAGTCACAGAACGAATTGAACTCGTAAGTCAAGGTACCACTGTATATTAAATTCTGCTCATTTATCTTCAGTACTATATGAACAATAAATATTTTTGGTGACTATAATTAACCCCCTTGACTGTCACAACCCCAAATCCTGAGGTGTCTCCTGGTGTCGCAAAATTTCCAAAAAAAAAAAAAAAATTCTTATGAAATGATAGAGAATCTTTTACTGATTGTAATGACACCAAAAGAACAAAATTTGATGGAAAACTGACGGAATTACGCTCTCACGAAGTTAGTGACCTCGGCGACATTTACGAATCGGCGATTTCACCCACATTGAGCCCTATTTTCGGCTAATTCCATTGTTCCAGTCAACCAAACTCATAGCTATTTCTTTAGAACTCCATTTTTTCTATCGATTGAGTACAAGAAACTGCCCATTTACCGATTTCAACTACCTAATAACGTGGTCAGAAATTTGCAATTTGGTCAATTTCACGAAAATTAAAAAATATGGAGATTTCAAAATAGGGTCCAGAATGAACAACACAGACATTCCTGGCTCTAAAATAACATTTTCTTTGTTCATCAGTCACGTCTCCAGGCCTATCTGATATTACTCTTGGTTTCTATTTTGAAATTTTATTCAAACAAAAAATAGAAGATTTACTGTTATGCAGACTACTGCAATATTGTAATAATTGTATAAATAATGTCAACCCATTCATGACTGCATATTAGAATGACTACTTGGACATTTATTGGAAAATGACATAATTTATTTACTTTTGAACATCAGCAAAAATCAAACATTTCCCCTACTTTGAGCTCCATTTCAAGGTTCTTTTCATAGTAAAACCAATAAAAAATCACCTCTATTTCTATAATATGTTTTCCATTCTGTCAAGAGAGACCAAGAAAACGAGAATACAACCATAAATACCATAGGAAAATAGACCACAAAGTCGGCATTTTAATTTAAAAAAAACGGTCGGAGATTTTTTTTCTCGTGCACTGCGTGTTGCAGGATTTTTTATATAGTACACATTGACCACACAGACTCATTCTCTCACAGGTGGGCCTACCAGCTTTCTCCTGCTTGATTTGAAGCCGCTAGAATTTATGAGTATACGTATATACGTAAAAAACGGTGGTGTGACGTATATATACGACCAAAACAGTCAGAGTTAATAGCTCTTTCCCCCTCCCTCTAAGTTTATTAATGCTGTTTATTTTTTTTAAATGCAATGTTTTCAAGGATGATGCTCCTCTTTTAACAAAGTATAACTTTAAAATTTAGGGATGTTCAGTTTTCAGGGTAAAGATTCCTGCGTCTGTTATATTCCATGAGCAATAAATAAGTATTATTTACATGAATGTATTTTTGTAGATGCAGCAGTTGTATTGGGGATGATTCTGATGACCGAAGCTGCCAACAAACGTGATGATGTTCGGAAACGCCGCATCTATGCCATCATTGGCCTTGGCCTTGTCGCCTTCTTTTTCTCACTGTCTTTGTCCATATTCCGTTCAAAAGCTCATGGATATCCATATAGGTAAGTCATTGAAGTGAGCAAATAGTAGAAAGTAGCAATGAGGTGAAGAGTAAGTGACCTGACTGGCATCTTCCTTCTGTTCACTAATTTGCTCACCTGCTCTTACCTGTTTGTGATTTGATAATCACAAACAGATAAGCATGGTAAGGGAAGGTAAATAATGCATAACAGTGAGCTGAAGAACAGGTAGTGTGTGAGTCAGGTAACTTACTCTTCGCTTCTCTGCTACAATCTTACATTTCCTCACTCTTACCTCACTTGTCTGTGATTCGATAAATCCCACTGGATAGCCAGAATGTCATCAGTGAAGTTCAGTATAACTGCATTTGCCTCTCTTTACAACTTGGCACTTTATTCTCCATACATACATTACCAGTTGTTGCATGTAGTATAGCCATTCATTTGTGGGTCTCCACTTTTTTTTTTATAACATTTGTGGTTGCCCTACCTTGGTGGGTAACGACCAAAGAAATATTCACCATTTGTGTGCCATGATGTGGAATGGGGATCTGAAGTAAAGAGAGAAGGGGGGGGAGATGGAGACGCACACACAGGCGCACATGCACATGGTGCGGGGAGAGTGACCCAGTAGCTGCCAGTGAAGAGGTGGGGCCAGGAGCTATGACTCGACCCCTGCAACCACAACTAGATGAGTACAACTAGGTGAGTACACACACACACATACATATACACACATATACACACACATATACACACATATACACACATACATATACACACATATACACACATATACACAATATAACACCCTATATACACACATATATACACCATTATACACACATATTTCACACACAAAGGTTTGCAACAAGACTAGTCCCAGAGCTAAGAGGTATGTCCCACGAGGAGAGGGTTAAGGGAAATCAACCTGACGACACTGGAGGACAGGAGAGATAGGGGGGGGCATGATAACGACATACAAAATACTGAGAGGAATTGAAAAGGGGGACAAAGACAGGATGTTCCAGAGATTGGACACAGTAACCCAAGGGGCACAGTTCGAAGATGAAGACACAGATGAATCAAGGGTTGTTAGGAAGTATTCTTCAGCCACAGAGTAGTCAGAAAAGTGGAATAGTTTGGGAAGCGATTAGTGGAGGCAGGATCCATACATAGCTTTAAGCAGAGGTATGATAAAGCTCACGCTCAGGGAGATTTACCTAGTAGCGTTCAGTTGAAGAGGCGGGGCCAGGAGCTCGGAACGACCCCCGCAACCTCAACAAGGTGAGTAACACACACACACACACCCACACAAAACACACACACACACAACACACACACACACACACACACCACACACACACACACACACACACACACACACACACACACACACACACACACACACACACACACACACACACACACACACAACCCCACACACACACACACACAAACCTTCTGGAGTTTTACGATAAAATAACCAAAGTAAGACAAGAGAGTGAGGGGTGGGTTTGATTGCATCTTTTTGGACGGGCCAAGAAGGCCTTTGACACAGTTCCTCACAAGAGATTAGTGCAGAAGCTAGAGCATCAGGCGAATATAACAGGAAGGGCACTGCAATGGATCAGAGAATACCTGACAGGGAGGCCCAAAAACGAGTCATGGTACGTAATGATGTACACAGGGGCACCTGTGACGAGCGGGGTCCCACAGGGGGCGGTCCTAGGACCAGGCTATTTTTGGTATATGTGAACGACCCTGACGGAAAGGGTTAGACTCAGAAGTGTCCCTGTTTTGCAGATGAATGTGAAGTTTTAAAGAGGAGAATTAATCTGTGAGGACCAGCAGGACTTCAAAGAGACCTGGACAGACTGGACACCTGGTCCAGCAAATGGCCTTCTCGAATTTAATCCTGCCAAATGCAAAGTCATGAAGATAGGGGAAGAGCACAGAAGACCACAGACAGAGTATAGGCTAGGTGGCCAAAGACTGCAAACCTCACTCAAGGAGAAAGATCTTGGGGTGAGTATAACACCGAGCATGTCTCCGGAAGCACACATCAATCAGATAACTGCTGCAGCATATGGGCGCCTGGCAAAACCTGAGAACAGCATTCCGACACCTTAGTAAGGAATCATTCAAGACACTGTACACCGTGTATGTCAGGCCCATACTGGAGTATGCAGCACCTGTTTGGAACCCGCACTTGATAAAGCACGTCAAGAAACTAGAGAAAGTACAAAGGTTTGCAACAAGGTTAGTTCCAGAGCTAAGGGGAATGTCCTATGAAGAAAGATTAAGGGAAATCGGCCTGACGACACTGGAGGACAGGAGGGTCAGGGGAGACATGATAACGACATATAAAATACT